AGAAGATCAAAATATATGGTATTTAGATACTAGGTGTAGCAACCATATGTGTGGCAAAAAGGAATTATTTTTTTCTTTAGATAAAATGGTTAAATCTACTGTAAAATTAAAAAATAATACAAATATTCCTATATTTGGAGAAGGCCAAGTCGCTATTAGATTAAAAGATGACTTTTAGAACCTTATCTCTGATGTTTACTTTGCTCCTAATCTTTATCATAATTTTCTAAGCATGGGACAACTATCAGAGAAAGGTTATAACATGCAAATTCATCAAAATTTGTTGCTGAGGTACACATGACACCAAATTGCCTGTTTCTTTTGAAAATTCAACATAAAAATTTTCTTATTTGAGTTTTGTTATACCAAATGAGGATTGGTTTTGACATGTGTTTTGGAAACTTTCAATTTTTTTGGATTAAATTATCTGTCAAAGAAATAATGTTTATGGTTTACCTGTTGTAAATTTTTTGGGGACGAAAATTTATTTTCAAGGAGAGAATTGTCAGATCAATATATTTATATGTATTTATTATTCCTTTTAAATAGTGCTGTGCATATATGAACTATATAAAATGTTCATTTATTGGAATGTATATATATAACAATTGTATGATTGTCGGATAAGAAGCAATATATTCTCAAATGTTGTGTTATGATGTTAAATGTGATGAGAAGAGCAGGTTAAAATTGGTTGTTAAATGTGTTGTGTATGAGATAAGCTAGGAAGTATGATCGAGAACTAGTATGATCTCATTTGGAAGAGAGATCGAGAGTTCTGGGCACAGGGTGTCTCGCTCAGGCGAGATATTTCTTTCTCAAGCGAGACTAAGACGTGCAGGATTAGGCATTCTAGAGCGTCTCGCTCAAGCGAGACAAGATAGGATCACCCCAACTTTCCTCTCGGCCAGGCGAGAAGAGATCTCGCTCAGGTGAGGAGTCACAGGAAAAATGGGTGGCTTTCTAGACCGATCTCACTCAGGCGAGATGCTGCTCGCTCAGGCGAGATGTTCCTCGTTCAAGCGGGAATAGCGAAAAACCTAAAGGGTTTCACTGTCTAGTTTACTCGTCCAGGCAAGGATGGCTTGCCCAGGTGAGATGAGAGCTCACTCAAGGAAGGATTTCCTCGCTCAAGCGAGAGCACGCAGACCTGGAGGGGTATTTAAGGAGCCCCGGCGCTAAGAAATGTTCATTTCTCACCAAACAACCTTCCTCTCTCATTTTCTCTCTGTTCTCTCACCATCATACCTTAGAGCAAACATCTCAAGACTAGATTTCTTCCTGATCCAAGTGGGAACTTCCGTTAAGTGTGGATCTAGGTGAGATCTTGAGACCTAATTCTCTAACTCTGAGTTTTATTTTGTGGATTCCTCTTCCTTAAAGTCTCTAATTCTTAAAAGTGTGAAAGCCTAAACCCACAAGCATTGTCTCATTCCTCGGGGACTCACAAGGAATTTGAACTATAGAAAACCCATTTTTTTAGGTAAGGGGAGCTTACCCTAGTTGGCTTTATCTATCCATCTAATGTTGAAATATGTAGATACATTTATAAAGATGTCATTCTGGCTAAGGATAGGTTGATATATGAGCAAAACCTTCAGGTAGAATCCAGAGTAAACATGGTTGAGCAGTTTGATTGTTGTTGATGTATGAGATGAGCCTGATGTGTTTGTGATGGGGTTTTAGGTTGTTTCATTCTGTGGTATAATATTTATTATGTTGAGAAAATCGTCGAAGAGCGGTTGTATATTATGTTGAGATCGACTGATAAATATTATGAATGATGAGTTTAAATGCTTACTATGTGATAGTGCTGAAATTGAATGAAAATGTTGTAGGCAAATATGTTGAGTGGTAGGTCAATGTGCTGAGTGTTAGGCAAATGTGTCGAGTGGTAGGTTCCTTCTAGATTCACTAATGTTGTGATGCTGTAATGATCATTGTGATTGATTTTGTTGATATTGTTGTTGTTAATATTGTGGTTGATATTGTTGTTGTTGTTGTTATTGATATTGTCGTTGATGTTGCTCGCATTTAATAAGTTGATAATGGGCTGTATTGCTAAGTAATAAGTTGTTTGTAATATGATTTATTTAAATGTAAATATTTAAATGATTATGATTTTTGTTTCGTAAGCTCACCTTTGCATTCTGTGCATGTTATGTGTGTGTATTTTGCGATAATCGTACTGTGGTACGTGAGCAGATGAGACAAGTACTATAGTTACTTCTCAAGCTAGAAGGTCTAGTTGAGGAATGTCTAAACTAACACATTTTGAAAGAAAATTGTAGCTTTAAATTATTTTGTCAGTCTAGGTTTAGCGATAGGTCTAGATTGGTTAGCTACAGTTTTCAAGATATGTAATTGTTAATCAAAATCTTGTATTTTGAGCTCCATGCAAAGTAGAGGTTGTAAATGTATATATGTAATTTTTGAATTATATGAAAGTGCCCGTGAAGCTTCTTATCTCGATGTTTTAGATATTAAAGTTGTAAATATTTTAAGCTATATTATCTCTCATAAATAGATTTTAATTAAAACCAATAGTTCAAGATATCATAGATTCTTTATAAAAATGGGTCATGACGTGTATAATTACATTGATCTGACAATTTATTTTAACTAATAATTAATATTATTTTTTATATCTTTAATAGTCAATAATACCAAGTGTTTAGTTTAAACACTTAAAAATAATAAAATTTTATTGAAAAATGTATTTTTTACTTTAAAATTTTAAAAGTAGATAAATGAATATTTCTTTTAATAGAAAATTTACTATTTTTAAATGTTTAAACAAAATGTTAAATGTTAAAAATAATTTTTTCTAATAAAAATACGATGTAGTGTGGAGTTAAACGTAAAATATCAATAATTCATGAGATTAATATTTTCTCCCATTAACAATTAGTGTAGTCAATGAGGTTTGTTGTTCTATATTTATCTAATGAATCATGTTAACCTACATTTAATTTGTAAGAATGCAAAGTACCATTATTTTACATTAAACTGCACACATTACACTATTTTTTGACCAGGGAGAATTCAAATTTTTTTTTTCATGGACAAATTTTAGGATCGAATCGGAGACCCAGTTAAAAAAACTCAAATCTTTTCTACTTATAATATGTTTGAATTCAAGTTTAAATATCTATATATTAATCTTTAATTCATTGTTATTAGTAATAATTGTAGCATTGAATTCAAGTTTACAAGTTTTTAATATGTTTTCAAATACATACTTAGATTTACTCTTGTTAAAACTTGGTAAATAAAATTCTTAACGTGATTTTTTCATCTTGAAATTTGTTACAAACTTATATTTTCAAACCCTTAATATATCATTTGGTTTAAAATTGAATAGAATTAATTTTAATAAAAATAATTTTGAGTTTTTGAATAGGATTATTACATGTGTATAAATTAATTTAAATTACACATTTTACGAAAACATATATTTTGCATTACAACATACAAAACATTTTTTATTCTTCATTTATATTATTAATAAACCTTCATTTATGCATTTTACAAAGCATGTACAGTGAATAGCAAAAACTATGGAATCTAGAATAACGGAGTTTTTGCTTCGCTATAGAAGCAGGCCAAAAAGTTGTCCATAAGTGACCATAGCAAAAAGTTTTAACTTACAAGAATACATTGGAAATCGTATTTCTCCGTTGAGAATGCTGATCAGATAATTTGAGGCAATGTTTAGAAGGTGAATTTAGAAGAGAATGGAAGAAAAAATTAATGTTTATTTAATGATACTTTTATTAGAAATTTTTTAGATACGAGTATAAGAATTTTTATAAATTCTACAAAGTTAAACTCATTTTAAAAATTTTTAAATTAATTTTTTTAATTAATCCGTTTTTTTCCTCTATTTAATTCTTCTGTGTCTCTAAATCTTTTTTGCTTTTCTTTTTTTATTCTAATCTTTCAAACAAAGTCTCATTATGATGCCCTTTGTTACATAAGAGTAGCTCATGCATTAAAATTGCAGCTTCCAAATCAATAACATATTATGGTCACAAAGTAAGTTTGATGTCAAAATGCAAAATCAAGCGTTAGTAATGGCTAGGCTTACGGTCAAAGGGAATATACTATTCTCTTCCCTGAGTCTTTTTAGAGGAAAGTTAAAAAAAAAAAAAAAACTATTTTAAATGAGATTCCTTTTAACCTCAGCTTAAAAAGTAATCTCAATGAAACTCAATTTTTAAAAATTATAATTTGAAAAACTCTTATTTTAACTAAAAGAAATTACACATATCTTACTTTCACACAAAGCATGTTTGATAATAATTTGTTAGTCTTTTATCAGTTACTCATTTACTTTTATTGAGATAAAACTTTAATAACTTATATATATATATATATATATATATTATTATTAAATATATAATATTTTATTTTTAAAATAATAAATAATTCTTTTTATTAAAAGTTTCTTAATTTTAATTAATTAATTATTATCTTAAATACTAAGCTTAACATTTATTTATTTTCAGGAAACCTCGAAGATCAAGTGATTTCTTTTCACTATCCAAGAGTTGAGACCTATCATTAATAAAATGCATTAGAAACAGCCAAAACAGGTCAGGTGAGTGTTTGGTGGATGAAAAATTACACCCTACTATCCCTAACGAAGGCTGGTGGTGAAAACGAGACAATTTAAGTTCAGCTGCGAGTGGTCTCTGTTATGTGTCTTCTTCAAGTTTATTGCAATTAAATTTGAGTGTATTCACTATCTTCAAGTTTGAGACATTAATAAATTGAATCGAAAATTTCTCAAATTGAACAGAAACATTTCGTAGTTGCCTCCATCTAAAATGATTCACTTTCTACTCTGCTTTTACTTTACTTTTCTCTAAATTTCTTGAGGGCTCGCTAGATAATGAAACTTACAACAAACATATATTATTTGGGTGGATTACAATATCTACTCTCTGGCTATGATATGTTGAAATAACTATCAAGAGAGTGACACAACCGTATCATTAATTAGGATCACTTGCATGACATTGAAGCATCTCAACCACTTGGCTCATGGGGGGCCTTAAATCTTTGTCTTCTACTACACACTCCAAAGCCACTCTAGTCAAAATTTCCATCTTATTTTTATCATAATTTGACCCAATTGCAGGTTCAATAATTTCCTCCACCCAAGACACATTGCTCCTTTTCTCTCTCACCCATGCAACTAGCCTCCCGTTATAAGTTTCTTCTCCATCAACAGTTTGGATACTTGTTGGGCTTTTTCCCGTTATCATTTGCAAAACAACAATTCCATAGCTATAAACATCTACCTTGGATGTGATAGGCAAGTTAAGAACCCACTCAGGTGCCATATAACCTCTTGTTCCTCTGATCATAGAGATGCTTGGATTGTTGAGGTTATTTCTGTTGAGAAGCTTAGACAATCCAAAATCTGCTAACTTGGGTTGATAGTTTGAATCTAGGAGTACGTTTTGTGGCTTTATATCACAATGTAAAATCCATTCCAAGCATTGCTCATGTAGATATGAGAGAACTCTTGCCATACCAAGAGCGATTTCATATCTCTTGCTCCAATCAAGAGTATTAGATGAGAGGTTTTCAGCCAAAGAACCATTTTCCATATACTCATATACCAATAACCTGTGCTTACCCTCAGCACAGTATCCCCACATTTCAATTAAGTTCATATGGTTAAGCCTTCCAATGATGCCCACTTCAGCAAGAAACTCCCCTTCTCCTTGTTTAGCATTATAAAGCATCTTCACTGCTGCATGTCTTTGATCTGACAATAGACCTTTGTACACAACCCCACCTCCACCTCTTCCAATCTCTTCACTGAACCCTTTTGTTGCCTTTTTCAGCTCAGAGTAGCTAAATTTTCTGAATCCTGTTGCTGTAAGATGATACCCTTGTTGATCTACACTAGACTTTTGGCTGGTCCTAATTAGAAAACACCAAACAACAAAAATACAAACCATTTCAAGACTTCCAAGTGTGGTTGCAAACCACAGAAAAGCCTTCACAAAATGACTTGCATGCACTTTGGTATAAACTCTTTGTAGTTGAACTGAACAAACATGGTCATACACAGCGTCAGTGGCAGATTCTTTATGAGAGAAGTTGTTACCCTTAGGCAATTTCAAATACGTTGTTCCACTGAACATCGGTGTGCGCCGTCCATTGAGTAATTGTGTTTTGGTATAGCACCTATAAAACCCTTTTTTCTCTCCATATGAATGCTGAAACCCCTTACAAGTACAATCTTGTAAGCATAATTTTTCACAAGTACTATAGTTACTAACTTCAACATAATGATTATCATAACCATAAAGCTCAACACCCCTCATCTCTAAGAAAGTAGTCTCATCTCTATTGCAACTAAGATCAAACATGGGTTCACACCCATAAGACCAATCACTGCGATTCTTCAATCTATACCCCGGAAGACACGAACATTTTCTCCCATTCTTAGGATCATAATCACAAGTACTATTAGCCCCACAAATCCCATGAACTACACAACCACTAGAAATCGCTTGCCACGAAACATACCATTTTTCTAACACATTATTTCTACTATACACCCTAACATTACCATCACAATCCAATTTCAACCTTCTTTGTAACACCGTGCCATAATCAGATGTCATAAAAGTGAAATTATCCGATGAATTGAAACGCCCAAGAGAATCCAACACCGCAATTCTACTACTATTGAAATAAGACCTTCCAACATCCCAACTTAGTAACCAAGGTTTGGGCCAATAACTACTTGAAACATCAGGACCATCGTACTGAAGAGAAAGAACGTTGCTATCGTCGAAGAAAAACTTATAGAAACCAAAGGAATAGTTACTTTGGCTTCTTGAAGACACAAGTTGTGTGTACCTAGTAAGGGGTTGACCTGGAAGAAGTGTATCAGTTGGAAAATCAAAACTTTGCCATAAAACGGTTCCTTGCAAGTCACGTAACACGAGATTGCCATCATCTTTGAGATGCAACTCTAGTGGGGCTAATGAAGCGGTGTTTGAAGACCAAGCGCTGTTAAAAGCAGCATCAAGCAAGACTAAGTTACCTGTGTGTAAGAGGGAAAGCTTCGAGCACTTTCCATTCACGGGTTGGTTACGGTTCGCCATCCACGCCACGGTGTTGGGGGTGTGGAAATGCGGTTCAGTGAACCATATGGCGAAGGAATAAGCATTTTCGCCGACGGAAATAAAGCCAGCGGAGAAGACGCCGTTTGGGGAGATGATGAAGTCTTGGGGGTTCTCCACTGAGAGGGAAGAACCCTTCGTGAGTGATGATGATGAAGATTGGAAAGAGAAGAAGAGTGTTAGAAGGAAGAGTGGCATTGAGAAGGCCATGTTCATGGAATGCAAGTTCCTCTGTGTAAGGGTTGAATTCATTTAAGAAATGAAGCATGGAAGTTGAGTGTGTTAATAATATATTGTTTCGTCAGCTGGGCTGACTTTAATCATAAAAGATATTATTTCCTCCATTTTTTTATTTTTAAGATTTTATATAAAAATTGAAAACGTTAAATAGTAGTTTAAATTTTAAAAAATTATTATTTAAATTTTCATTGTACTCTTTGTCTATTATATTAATTATTTCACTTTATCGATTATTATTTTTACTAAACAAACATTAATTATTAAAAGTGAAAATATAAATAAAATTATGAATTTTTCTAATTAATATTTTTAGACCATTGACTAATGAAAGATTTTTTTTAACGCGTGTGAGGACACAGAACAAAAACATATACATACTAAATTATGATGTTATAATTTTAAATAAAAATTTACTATTTATTGATTTCTGATTGTATGTTATTGCACACATGTCAAAAAAATTAATAAATAAATAATAATATTTTTATTAAAGTTCACGTTATAATATATTAAAAATCACACGGATGAATATTTTGAATATTTTCTAATAAAAATTTTAATTTCTCAATCAATATTTTATCCTTCATTAGCATTTTTTAATATTATTTATTATATTTTTATATTTTTCTAATAATGTATTTTTGCACACACGTTAAAAAATTTAATGAATAAATTATAATTTTTTTATTAAATTTCAAAGTGTAATGTATTAAAAATCACATGGATTCTCTAATAAAAAATTAATTTCTCAATCATTATTTTATCATTTTTTAACATTATTTATTACATTTTTATCTTTTCTAATCATGTATCTTTGCGCATACTTAAAAAAATTAGTTAATAAATAATAATTTTTTATTAGAATTTACACGGTAATGTATTAAAAATCACATGGATAAATACCTTTTTACATTTTGAAATAAAAAAATTTAATTTCTGAATTAGTGTTTTATCACTCATTATCATTTTTTTTTAACAGAAATCAAGTTATTAATAACTCTTTATAAACATTGAATAATGAGACATGTACATTGAACATGCATTTTAACTTCTTAAGTAAATCAAATGTTTATAAGTACGTAATTCTATAATTATTTATTATATAAGATATATTAAATGTTAAAATAAATTTATTTAATGAAATTTTTATTTGTATGATTTTTTTAATTTATTTTTAAGCCTAGATTAATGAAAATAATTTTGCTCAAAATAGGTATATTATTGTAAACTAGTGCTTAATTTGAGTAAATTTTTAAAAAAATTCTTGTAGGAAAAAAGTTAGTAAAATTTATGAATAAAATTTCTTTCATAAGTTAGAAACATCTTGTATTTTTATTTTATTTTATAAGATCTTTCATTTAATTTCTTTAAAATTTAAAGAAATAAATTAATTTTTAATATATAATAGAAGTTTTATTTATTTTTATGTTAATTTTTAATAAAAATTTCTCTAGAAGTTCACCTTAATTAGGTCTATCTTTAAAAAAAGAGAGAATAATTTAATAGTTGAATTGAAAAAAAAAATCAATATTTATAAAAAATTAATAAACAAAATAGCTATTATTAAAGTTACTTATGAAGTAACTTAATCTTTGTCTATATATATGAAAATGAATAAAGTAAGTCTTAAATGATTTACTCCTTTTAATAACTTTTAATAGGTACTAAATTCAATTAATTTAATAACTACTTTAAAAGTTCACGTCAATTAGGTTAACTCTACAAAAGTTCATATTTAAAAATTAATTTATATTTTCATCATTAAATTTTATTTTCACATAAGTTATTAAGTGGTGTTAGTTTACAAATTTGATATTTACTGTAAACCAATCCTAACTCATACTATTATTAGGATAATTATGTATATAAAAATTTAGATAAATTAATATGATTAAATATATTATGTTATAGTCAATAATTACTTAGATTTGAAAATGTTGATACATAAAGCATTAATTAAATATTAAATTATATGAAAATTTCAATAATAAAAATTTAATTCAATAATTAAATAGATAAATTATTAATTAGAGTAAGTTTAACCAACTTACTTTAGGAATCAATAAATCCTCTCCCTATGTCTGTGTACATTAAATGAAGAAAGAATCAACGATAAAATATTAAAGAATAATGAGATATTATTGATTACTTTGTTTGCAAGTGACTAATCACGCTTATATACAGTATAAATGAAAAAGAAGGAACATAACGAACTAAGTAAATAAGAAAACAAATTCTAAAAATAATTTAAAATATTTTCTAAAATGTACAAAAATAATCAACGTACTGCTTAAATTTTTTTATATTTATAACATTCTCGTGAAACTAATGTTAGCATTAACTTGCCATAATTGAGTATATTAAAAGCGGAGCCCATAATATATGAAAAAAGTTCAAACTACATTTAGGATAGAAGTCAATTAGGTAGGATCAGGTGGAACTGGCCGAAAGTAACGGACACTGGACAAAATTGACCAGAAGAAACATACAAGGGACAAGATTAGGTAAATGATATTCTTATTTATTTATTTATTTTTAGAGTGAGAATTATAGTTAGATAATATTTTTAAAGTGATTATTAAATTTTCAAATTTATAATTTTTTTTAATATGTAATAAGTCCGTAATTTAAAACACTTTTTCAAGTATATTTATATATTTTTATTTTTAATTTGAATAAATTTTTATACTAATTATCTTACTATTTATTGCAGTTAAACATGATTGAAGATATAATTATTAACGAACACACTAATAGACTTTTTGAGTATAAACTTAAGAGAATCGTGTCAAATCTAGGTGAGCATGCCTAGATCACAAGCAGTCAGCATGTCCATGCTTTGAGAGTATGCATGATCGTGCTTAACAAGATTGTGCATAATGTTAAGCACGATCATGCTTTCTTCTATTGTAGACAAAAGAGAATTTTTTTTCTAATTTATGATGGAAGAATTTAAATTTGAACCATAAACATATCTAATCTCCTTCAGTTGAGATATTAATCTTATCAAAAGGACTTCTTAGAGGCAACAATGCTACCTCTAGTGAATTTCAACTCCTATTTAAGGGACCTCAAACATCATGACAAGGAGACTCTAATTATCAAATCGGTATATTTTCATATATATATATTATTTCTTTTGAATTATGTTGTATATGCTTGAAGTGTATGGATTTTCATACATTGAAATATGAATACAAAAGTTATATGATTGTTGATTTAAGAGCTGAGTAATTGTAGTATAGAGTGATTGTTGTGTTTAATATCATTGAATGTATTAGGTATATAATAACTTAAGGATTGTGGTCGAGAACTTGTATTCCTTCATTCTAGGAAGAATTAGGAGTTATGGGTGCAGGGTGTCTCACTTAAGCGTGGTAGTTCTTGCTCAACGAGACTGAGTCATGAAGAATTGAGCATTCTGGAGTGTTCTTTCTCAAGGGAGATTAGATAGGATCACCTCAACTGTTCCTTTGCCCAGGCGAGAAGAGAACTCGCTTAGGCAAGAGGCGACCTTGCTCAAGCGAGAGAAGCTCGCTCAAGCGAGGAGTCGCAGGAAAAATAGATAGCTCTTTGGACCCGAGCTCGCTCAGGTGAGACATTCCCCGCTCAAGTGAGAATAACACAAATTTGAGAGGTTCCAATGTCTAGTTTGCTCGCCCAGGCGAGGATGTGCTCACCCAGGAAAGGGCAGGGTTCGCTTAAGTGAGGGTTAGTTTGCTCAAGCGAGAGCGCATGGGCCTAGAGGGGTATTTAAGGAACCCCAGCACAGGGAAATGTCCATTTTTCACCAGACAAACTTACTCTCTTATTTTCTCTCTGTTCTCTCACCTTCTTCCCTTAGAAAAAACTTTCTCAAGACCAAACTTCTTCTTGATCCAAGTGGGAACTCCTGTTTAGTGCGGATCTAGGTGAGCTCCTGAAGCCTCATTCTCCAACTCTACATCTTATTTCTTGGGTTTCTCTTCTCTAAAATTTCTGTCCTAATAGTGAGAATATCTGAGCCCTCGAGAGTTATTTCTTTCTTGGAACTTGTGTGGAGTCCAATTTAAGGAAACCTAGTTTCAAGTAATGGGAGCTTGTCTAAACTAGCTTTATTTATTTACTAGACGCTGAAATATTTACATGTATAATTTCGTTTTAGCTAAGAAGGAGTTAGTGTATGAACAAACTTTAGGATAGGACCTAGTGTAAAAATGGTTGAGTGGGTTGATCATTGTTGATGAATGTAACAATGCTTGATGTGTGTGTGATGGAATTTTTTGCTATCTTCTGAAACTGATCATGTTTTAAATGCTTATTATATGGCTGTGTTGTAATTGTATGAAATGTCGTCATGCTAAGGTCGAGTCACATATTTAAAAAGGGTGTAGGCATGCACCGATTAGAAAACATGTTGTGTTAAGGGTGTAGGCGTGTAACGATTGAGAAAAATGCTAAGTTGAGTTTTGATTTACTTGGATCCAGGTACCAAAATGGGTTGCTCCCAAACTAGAAGATTGTAAGTTTCTTCTGGATTTACTAAGGTTGTTATGCTAGTTAGAGCTGAGTTGTTGTTATTGCAGTAAATGAGTTGATAACGAGTTATATTGCTATGTTAAGTATTGAGAATTGTTGAAATAATAATATGTACAAATATTTATGTTCGTATTTTGATATATATTTGATCATGATTTTTATTTTGTAAGCTCACCCTTGCATATTGTCTGTGTTGGTGTATGTGCTATAATGATCGTATGGTAGTACGTGAGTAGAAGTGATAGGTGTTGTATCTGCTTCTCATGCTAGAAGGTTTGGCTGAGGAAAGTATAGAGTCAAAGTACTTTTGTGAAGATTATACCTTTATTCATTTTGTTAGTTTAGATTTTATTAATGTGTCTAGACTATTTAGCTATATTCTTCATTAATGTAATTATTATTTATAAAATCGTATTTTTGAGCTCTATGTTGAGCAACTTTGATATAACTAT